AGTAGTCCTAATCCAAGTGCATTTGAGACCTGCTTATGTGTGTTAACTTTAATGGTCTTGAATGTGTGTTTGTGTTCCCAGGAGAGACTCTGCTCAGCCCTCTGGTGATGTGTGGACCTCACGGCCTCAAGTTCTTGAAGCCTGTGGAGCTGCGCTTACCTCACTGTGCGTCTATGACCCCTGATGGTTGGTCTTTTGCTCTAAAATCCTCCGACTCCTCGTCGGGTATGCTGTGCTCTCTCTGTTCTTCTGGGGTCGTTTGGGCTGGCTGTGTGACAATTTTTGGGTTGTGGGTCACTGTTTAATTATTATTTGTAGATTTTACCCCTACTTTTGGTTCTCTTCATTCAAAAAAAATCTACATTTTGGTCACTCTAAACATCTGAGAACCAATCTAGAGGCAAAATCTTTTTTTCATAATTGACTGCTTTAGTTGAATCATTTTCATCATTCACACTAGTTAACTCACAATCACTGTATCACTGGTTTTCTTCATTTGGTGTCCTGATCTCGGTCTCCTCATTGATTTCACATGCTTTAATTGCAGTATTTCACTCTTGTTTCTTACTTCTTTAATCATTTTAACAAGTTTCTCTAAATTCACTTAACATTCATGCATCAAACACTTGGCTGTATAATCATTTGTTCATCAGGTAGAAGTGTAATGCATGCTGCTCTGAGTGATCATTCTCACATAGCCACCCAAATCCCGACCTGAAGAACAGCTTTCATAGATCCTCCAGGAAAATGAAACACTGTCATGACTCATGACCAATAATGCTTGTATTGTATCCTTCAAAACTGTGAAACGTCAAAATGTAGCTCTCTAAATGTAGCTTCCATCTTCCTTAGTGTTCCCATTATTCAAGGTTGCTTTCAGGTGACTCAAACATTTATGTTTTTGTAAATGCATCCTTAAGACTGGCTTCAGTCTTGGATTGTAAAACAGGGAAGTGGGCTGCAGGAGAGGATTCAGACAAATGCATATATTTAGCTGTAAACCCTCCATCAGTAAATGGTTATCTTGCTGTTTACACTTTATCATCTACTCAAAAATGTAAATCTAATATCTGTTTTTGAGATTTGATAAAGAACAGTATAAAAGATGTCATCCATCTAATAAAGAATTGCCTACAAAGGTCCAAAACCACAGAACAGAATACTGTCTGTGAAGTCGATATTTATATTTAGACTTGAAATGATCAGCAGTGTATGGACAAATTGCACAGATCATTATAATGAGAGTCAGAACCAAGATAAACCCTTTCAAATATATCATCATGTACTAGTGTGTCATGTGACTGAGAAAACAGACATTAGGGAAATAACCCTGGTTCAGTTGAGCTCCTGCTGTGAAAGTATTCAAACTAAATAAAATATCTAATTCCCCCTCTCCCCTTTCTTAACAAAGTCGCTGTCTTCTTCCAAACCAGTGGTGATGTTGGCAGTGGTCGAGATTAGCTGTTAATTAGCCTCATTTTAAGGATGAGACTTTCAGGGCTGAATGACATGTGAGCTCACTCTGTTGTCCCGCTGAATTGTGGGGGGATTATCGGTCTGCGTCGTAATCCTCTTATTGTGAAGCAAGGCCACTCTCTGGCCTCCTCCTGCCCTTCTCTGCTTTCCTTCTCACTCTGCTTCTCTCTATAAACAACTCTCTGCTCCTTCCTCCCTTCTATGGATACTGTGTTATTCTGTCGATGATCACTTCATATACGTAAAGGCTGAAATTAGATACTGTCAAATAACTGTTAACGTTGAACGCCCTACCATCAAATGATGTCCAAATACCTCATATTCTATGCAGTCTTTTGGGTTTGACCATGTCTGGAGATAATGTTCTGATAAGTGTGGTGCCTGTTTCTGTCATACGTATTGATCCCCTGGGCTGGTGGGTAGGTTTGTATTCCATGCTCTATTTCCACATTCCCAGGACGCCCAAAAAACAAACTGGCAGGTAATGTGATACAAATTGCTGCCGTCTGTTTCACTCATCCTCCGGTAGTATTGTCATCCCACAAAGTTATGCTTCAGCAGGAGACAAAGTCTACCACCCGATGCACAGGAAGCATCGCTATGAACCACGCAGGTTTTATTGAAACTGAACGGCTTTGAAAATGTAGCTTTAGTCTTTATCGGTGACCTTAAAGCTCAATTTACTGGACAAGTTTAGGAGCTTTCAGACGCTTTTTGTGGTCTTAACCTTCAGATGGGGCAAACTCTTATCTGCTCATAAAGGTCACAAGATACGGCTGAACGCTTCAGAAAATGTAATTATGTGGACCTCGCACTAAGCCTTGAGAATACACTAGCGTAAAAACTATTAGTTGATTAATTGATGGGTAGTCGGGAAATGATTCAGCAACTATTTTTGGCAAATGATGAATCTTTTCCTCAATTCTGAAGCAGTCTCTGATTTGCTGCTTTACACTGTTAACATATACACTGAACACAAGTGGGTGGATTTGGACAATAGGAAATGTGAACATAGCACATTAGAAACTGGTAAATATTTGAACGTCCAAATGATTAACTTCAAGAAGATTAATCAATAGCTAAAATGACGGTAAGTTGAACCTTAAGTATACACACGATGCGGTTTGGGAAGCAACGCTAAACATGAACACTTCACAGGGTTCCTTTAAAGTCTTCATAGTTATTATAGTCCGGACTGTTTTTAATATACTGACTTGTGACCTTTTGTTTTAATGTTATGTGAGCAAAAGTTATCCGAAATAGATTCCCAACTACTCTTTCAGATTTCCCCTGAGTTATTGCTGACATTTTCAACAATGCTGAATGAAAGTCTCCTTTGACTTTCGATTACCGCTCTGACAACTTTACATGTGACCTGTGCTCTCCTCGCCTCAGGAACCAAAGGACAGTCCCACTTATTCGTGTTAGGTGCTGCTTCACAGGCAGACATCAAAGAAATGATAAGGCACAAGCAGCTGGTTATTTGAAGTTCTGAAGATTAGCGCTTTGGCACACCGCCTCCTTCAAGATAAAAGAAAAGACTCTTGATTAGTGTCTTGGCTACTTTACCTCTCTCGTAGAGGCTGTGAGACTCTAAAGGCAGGCTGGCAGTGAGTCGTTTTGTTTTTCATTGAGCCAGCATCCAGTACAGCTCAAAACAAAAGCTACACCAGACGCGGGAGCAAAGGATGTTTGCAGACAAGGTTATTTCTAAAGTGTAGTTGTTTTACAGTTGATCTAAGAAGGAAACAAAGTCGAGTTAGTTTCACATCACGAAAGAGATGTCAGCAAACAGGGTCAGGCTCCCTCTCAGTCCCAATGAATCAGTAACGCTGCACTAAACCTCTGACTGCATTTATATAGCAATTGTATTTTCACAAGGGATCAAACGTTCAACCCTGTTACAACAAACCTAGAAGGAAAAACGAAATGAGTTATGAGAGTCCAACAGTATGAACCTGCTATTGAACCTAACACACTGCCAAGAAGGCAGTGACTAAACACTGAGCTTTGACCTGATAACAAAGAGTCTTGATAAGTTTCAGGTTGAAGAGAGTCCTCTGCTCACATGTACCTCTTCATTAGGACCCAGAGTTTAGTGCTAGAGTCACAGTCAGTGTTTATATGGTCACTTTGAGCGTACAGTATCGATGGGGCGGTGCCGAGCTGGCTCTGCTTACTCTGATTGATTAGACGAACGCTCCTCTTGGCACAGACCTGTATGTTTATAATTGTAATTAAACTCAGACCTCACAGTAACGGAGGCTTAATTTGAGGCCGGCAAGAGGCCATGGACATTCAATAAAAATGTGAAATCACTTTGACTTGCTCTCATAGGCCACAAAGCCATGTGAGATTACCTCACATGGCTCGGAGACGATAGATACGATCAAGCTCAGTGCCGTACAATAGATTTTTCAGATAATAGTGCTTGTGAAATGCGTTACAGCTCATTTTTCAAAAGCAGCTGTTATAACTCTTCGCCCCCCCCCC